GTTAGAATAATATATCCAAAATTTGACAACAAATTGAAATGTCAAGTCAAACTAGAGCTCCAACCATGAACGAAGTCAGTTCTCATTCAAAATCGGGGAAGTTTGAACCAAGTTATGATAATTTCAAATTTTGGAACACCCCACAAAAATACTTTTTTAGACAAGTTTCGACCAAAAATTTTGTTATTTAATTAAAAAGCCAAAGCAAAATAGAGGCTAAACTAAAAACAAAAAGGTATTCCCCGTGGAAATCGGTTGAGTTTTGAGCAAAATATGACAATTTGAAATTTCGTTAAGCGATTTTTTACCGAAAAGTGTTTTCTCTTTCAGGTCCCTGAAGAGCTTATAAAGAAAAAAAGTAATATTAAATTGAATTAAATTTAGTAAAACATCGAAATTATTTTATTAGTGTATAATTTATTATTTAAATATGTTATAAAATTTGTTTATCGTATAAAATATACTCTTATTCTTGTCCCACATCAATATATATATATACATATATATAATATATATATATAAATATATATATTATTATGGTATGCATGTATATAGAAAAATTACAATTTAAGTATTGTAGAATTTTTTGTTGTTGTTTGTTTTTTGTTGCTTTCCACACTATTACACAATTACAATTTTTAACTGCAACTCGTTATTGTTATAATTTGTCGCCTGGATGTAGTCCATCTCAATTGAATGTTATTTAATTTAATTAATGTACTTATCATGTATGTATATATGTATTGTAATGTAATACTTGTGTGTACCTAGTACAATGCTTCTGCTATGTAAATATATATTTATATATATATATATATATATGTAAATTGATGAATATTTGTTTCGCCTATGTATCTAAATTGATGCCAAAATTGTGAATTTGATGAAATGCAAATCATAGGAGAGTTTCAAACAGTGTTGCCAAACGCCAACTGTCTCCGGCGGCTGACAAATGACGCTTTGGCAACACTGCTCTCGTCATGCTCTTTGTTTTGGTTTTGTTTTGGTAATTTCCTTCGTACAGAGTATATAGTAATTAGTTATGCACTATTTATGTATGTGTAGTTGCGTACGTAGTAGTAAGAATTTATATATATATATATTTTTTATATATATGTACGTATGTCACTATCGTATGTATTTATGTAAGTAGTTTGAATACAATTTGTTCAGCATTTAAGTCGCCATTAGATGAACCAAGCATTTGAGTCTGTGTCTGTTACAAATATACAATTCGCAGTTAGACTATTTTGATACACTAGATGTATATATATGTAAGTGTGTATATAAATGTATGTATGTATGTATAGATGCCTATATGTAGTATTCATTATAGCTATATATGTATATGCGAAACCAGTAGCTGGCCTACGAATATTTTTTTAGGGGTTTCTTCTTTTTTTTATTTTTTTTATTTTTCTTGATTTTTGAATATTTTTGTTTTTTTTTTTTGTATTTTTTTAGTGCGTGTTTTTTTTTTGTTATAATTCTGATCTTGTTTTCAATGCTTATTATTTAAATTTGTACTCGTTTTGTACTCAATTGCTCCATAATTATTACATAAATGTATGTTAGTATGTATGTATGTATGTACGCATGCCTATGTTTAAATGTATAAGTATGTATGTGTATGTACGTATTTGCCCAAAATGAAATGGAATCAATATATGCATGTATGTATATTAAATGCTAAACGGTTTTGTGTTCAATACATACACACAAATGCATGTACGTATATGCATGTGTGTATGTATGCATGCACGCATGCATGCATGCATGTATGCATGTAGTTGGGTTTTTAATTCGTGTTTCGTGAATTCTTGTCATAGAAAATTTTACTCAAAATTGTATTTTGATATAAGAATTCAGTTATTTTTCTTTTGCATCGTTAATCGACATGTTATCAAAATTTCATTTATAAATAGATTTTTTTTTTTCGTACTTTTTTTTTTTTGGGAAAATTATTTTCACGTTCATTTCATAGTTGTGTTAGTCATTTAGTTTTGTTGGCTTATAACTAAATACATATATATATACATATATATATGTAAGTATGACAAAAAATTGAATACCTGATTTAAGTTTTGGATTCGTTTTAGTTCTCGTTAATTAAGCTACTTGTTTATGAGCATTTAGTTATATGTTGTTTCTTCTTCTGCGTTTTTTTTCTTTTGGGATTTTTTCTCTTTATATATATATATGCATGTATGTGTCTATGTATGTGTGTATGTATGTGTATTTGAAATTAAAAAAAAATACCTGCTTGCATTGAATTTTTTGGTATGTAAATGTTTAATTAACTATTTTTTAATACGTAGCTGTGTGTGTGTGTGTGTGTGTATGATATTCATGATTCTAAATTGATTTTTCTTATATATTTTTTTTTCATTTTGTTTTTGATTCTTAAGCCTTTGGCAAATTGTTCAGTATTCATGACTTTCAGTTTGTATTTAACATACATATTAATAAACTTTAAACTTTACATATACATTCATATGTTTGTCTGTGTGTGTGTGTGTGTTAAATGCTTTTTATTTTTAATTATGGCATTCGGTAGTACTTAAATCTCAATCTTGGTTTATTTATTTATATATTATTTTTTTTTAATATTTTTTACACAATTTCAGAACTGTGGCTTTTAGAAAACGGCGCTCATTTGTAATGATTTTAGTATTTGCTTCATTTTTTTTTTTATATTATTTTTAGTAAATCTCACACATGTAGAAATATTAGTAAAATATGGCATTTCTCATATGTCTCATATATGATATATATAGATATATATATATATATGCATATATATATATTTTGTTTTTTTGTATGGTTTTCTTTTTGGTTTGCAAAATTTGAGGAAATGTTTTGATCTGGTTTCGGACCAGAAATCACAAAAAATGAACGGCGCTTTAAGGTATATAAGTGTGTGTGTGTGTGTGAATGAGTTTATGGCAATTACAAGAAATCATATACACACACATACATATATATATATACACATATGTGTGTGTGTGTAGCTTGCCTTTAAATAAAAAATAAAGAAACATTAGCTCTTAAGTTTTACGATACATTTGTTTTGCGGTCATTTTAACACTAAGTACGACTTGTTTGTATATAACTACGGGCTATTATACAGATATCTTTATACATATATATGCTATACACATATATACATATATTGTATTTGATTTAATTGTTTTTGTTGTTGTTTTTAGTTTTGCGCATTTAATGCGTGTTGCTTTTTTAGACATGGAAGGAGTTTTAGCTCAAAACTCTAATTTTACGTTCGAGTTAAGCACAACAAATACGAGACTTGACATTGAAACGAAATTAAATAATTAAGAATATATATATATATAGAAAAAAAACACAACTAGTTGGCTAATACATGATTTTTTTTTTCTTCTGTTTTTTCTTTTTACCAGTCTACGTTAAGTCAGTTGTTGTTACTTTTAACTGTCGGTCAAAACAGCTGACTGGCTGTCAAAAATTCGGCTAAGATATATTGTATTGTAGTGTATTTTTTTTTTTTTTTTTAATATTTCTTGCGAGGAACATGTCACCTAAATATGTATTCAATACGCGCATATTGCTCGGGTTCTTTTTTTTTTCCATATGTTGCTCAATTTTAGTTTTAACTATGCCACGCTAGATTTTAAGATCTCTACTAAATGCTAATGAACACATTCAAGTCGAAAAATTATGATAAGATTCTCCTCTCTCTCTGGTTTTTTTTTTGCTAAATCTTGTACATAATATAGTTATAATAATAGTAATAAAAGTAATGAGAATAATTATAAATAAAATGTTTCTCTAGGTGATGCAGTGTGCGGTTAGATGTGCGTGTGTTGGTGTGTGTGTTGGAGTGTGTGTGTGTGTGTGTTTCAGTTAAACTCGGTTTAAGCTTTGCCCCCATATTATGAATTGATGTGTGACTGTTTTTATTTGCTGAGTTCTATGCTGCACATATATATATATATACATATACATATATATATATAGTATATATATCGTATTTAGTATATGTATCGTTAAGCTATGTTTTAAGTTACGTTACGTTATCAATGTCATTGCAATTTTTGTTTTTTGGCCTCACCATATATGGTGTTCAATTGGCTCCGAAATTGCCGTTTTTGTTTAATCAGTCTTCGTTAAGAGTTCAACCAAAAGTCAGCGGGTTTTCATTTGTTTAATATTTATAATTACCATTTATATGTGTTTAGTTTTTAGTTTTAAGTTTTTTTTTTTTGTTTTTCGTATTCTTTACCTTTTACAAAGTTTCATACTCACTTGCTCAGTCTCAATTATAAGAAATTAATTATAATAAACAATATTTAAAAAAAAAATAATAATAATAATAATAAATCCTTTACACAATTAAAATTGAAAAGCAACCAAAACGGAACGAAAGTGAAAAATATTGGCATGTGTATATGTAAAAAGCACTTGGCGAAATTATTGAGTAACTCGTCAGTAAAATGATAGCACATATCGAATTTAACATAAACAAATCCCATACCACATATGTATCTCGCTCGAACCCAACGCCTAGCTAGATTTAACTGCCCCCCCGCTCAGTCTAACTAACAGGTATTTTCAATATTTTCATCTAGTACTTATTGTGTGCTGCTCTTCCGGACCTACTCTGCTGTGTATAAAAGACGAGTTTTCTTTTCTTTCAGTTTGAGTTGGTTTTTTTTTTCACTTTTTTCTAGGTTATGTTCACTTTGCTTTTTCTAGGTTAGGTTCACTTCGTTTTTTTCTAGGTTAGGTTCACTTTGTGTTTTTTCTAGGTTAGGTTCTCGAGCCTAAAATTCTACAGAACGCGCTTTTTTTTTTGTTGGTATTTTGCTTTAGTTTAGTTAAATCTTGCTTGTTGTTGCTTGTTTCTTGTATATTCGCTAAATATATATATATAAGATTGTGTTTGTGTGTGTGTGTATGTGTTTGTTTGTTTGTTGTGTGTAAATTACCAAATCGTAACCGTGTTTAATAACTCTTAAGCATTATCGAGGTAATCGTTGTAGCACTTATGCTAAAAATTTTTACTAATTTTAATGCCGTTTTTTGTTTTTTTTGTGTTTTTGTTTTGGATTTGCTTTGCTTGTAAATGGTCTAAAAAAAACGTCGTCTGTCTCTTTGATCTGTTGTCCGTTTTTTCTTTCTTTTGTTTTTGTTTTCGTTTTTTGTTTTAAGTTTATAAGCTAATTTAGAATACGTGCACAAACCGCTTGTAAGGGTTAGACCCTTCCTTGGAGTCCGGCGACAGCTCTATGAGGAATACAATGCGTCCATCCGGCATCAAAGCCACATCGCAGGTGCGATCCTTTTCATCCAACGTCGGCGGCATTAGCGGATTTATCGATGGACGCACCTCGATCTGATTAACAAAAAAAAAAAAACAAGAGAGAGTCAGTCTTGGATCTAAGCAAGCGACACGCTGTGTACTTACATCCCACATAAAGTCTAGATTCTGATTAAAGACGAGTATACGTTGATTCTTTGAATCGGCGACTATAATGCGACCCTCGTCATCGCAGCACAGGCCCGAGGGCCGATTGAACTCATGGAAGCCGGAGCCCTCATGGCCCTTGACAGACAGTATCTGAAAAGCCAAGAGATCGTTAAGGATTAGCTGCTGGCAGGCAGAGATATTTGGTTTAGCTTACATCATTGATGTCCGGATCGATCAGATAGAGGCAATGGTTGTCAAAGTCGGACACAATTATGTTGCCCGTGGGCGTGTAGCAGACGCCGCGCGGCGAGGCAATGCCCTTCGTCTGGCCATGATTATCGAAGACGATCTGACGTATGAAGCGTCCCTCGGAATCGAATTGTTGTATGCGATGATTGCGCGAATCTGTGACGACAATTTGACGGCGCGAATTGACGGCAACATCCCAGGGATATTGGAACTGGCCGTACTCCTTGCCGTAGCTGCCAAACTTGAGCAGAAAGACGCCGCTTGCGGTGAATATCTGAACGCGATGATTATCCTTGTCGACAACAATGATGCGATTATCAACGTCCACACAGATGCCGGCGGGCAGATCGAATTCGCCATTGCCCACGCCCTTGCGACCGAACTTGAACTTGAGCGAGCCATCCGGATTGAAGACCTGCACACGATTGTTGCGCCTGTCCGAGACTAGAACATGCCCCATTTTATCGACACACAGGCCCCAGGGCCGGCTCACCTGGCCGTCCTCATGGCCCTCGGTGGCAAAGGACAGCGACAGTGCATTCGAATTGCGCACCTTAACCAGATCCATGCAGCCGGGTATGGCCTGCGTTGTGCGCGGCGCACTGAAGTGCAGGCCGGGCGAACTGCGCAGTCCGTTCAGCTCCCAGTCGAGTGCAGCGCTGGACATGCCGCAGGCGCTGCCACCGCGCGGCGGCTGCATGATGGGCGAGGGTATGCGAAAGCTATTGTCGCGCAGCAGCGGACGCCGCACCGTTGTCGAGGCGACGCTCAGGGGTCCGGCCGTGCTGGCCATGCTGTTCAGGCCGAAGGCCATGTCGATGTTGTTGGCGGGCGCGCTGACCACATTGCTGGCTGCGACAATGCCATTGCTGCTGGACACAATGGGCATGTTCTTGTCATCCACCAAAATGACGCCGCCCTGGTTGCGTATGTCCTGCAGCAGGCTGTAGTCGGGTGGCGCAAAGGCGAACACCTCCTGCTTGGGCTGCAGATCCTTGTAGATGCCCGCAAACTGTTCCATCTGACGCTGGCCATTGGTCAGCTTCATGGCTATCTCGATCTGGTCCATGCTGCACGCATTGTCCGCCACCTTGCTAAGCATATCGGAGGTCTCCGAGAGACCGGCCAGGGCGGACTTGAGGCCCGCCATCTGATCGTGCAGTATGGCGAGACGACGCTGACGCAGCTTCTCGACAAAGTCGAGCAGAAAGCGCTCCCGATCCTCGATGGCAATGATGAACTGACGGAACGCCTTGCGTATATTATCGCTCAGCTCGCTGCAATTGCGTTCGATGAGACGTATAAAGGCAAGCGCCTTATCGATGCTGCTCTTGATGCAGCGCGTGCCCACCTGGCTGCTCTCGATGGCGCCCTCGAGCTTCTCCTTGGAGCCAACCATAAAGTTCTGTATGGACGCATAGCTGTGCTCCTTGTGCTCGTGCAGCGTACAAAACTGGCACACCAGCTTCCGGCAATAATCGCACACATAGCGCAGCATCTCGTTGTGAATGTCGCAAATGAAATTGCTGCTCGCCGGCGTTTGGGCATTCGCCGAGCTGCCGCCGGTGGGTGAGGCGCCAATCGGTGTCGGCAGCGAGACAATCGAATGATTCGAGGACAAGGGACTGTTGCGATGCTCGCGCAGGCAATCGTTGCACATGAACTCGTTGCACTCCAGGCAGCGTATCGAGGCGCTCACCTCGCACCAGCCGCAGCTGATGCTCGAGTTGTTTGACGATTCCGGTGACATTTTTGAATGGCGCGTGGCGCCGCTGCCAATCGCGCCCACCATGCTGAAGTCACCGTGTGTTTCCAGGCCGCCCAGAAAATTGTTAATAAAGAAATCAGTGCGTGGCGGCGAGCTGATGGCGTGGTAGAAAACGTTATTAGCAGAGCAACTTTTGTGATTGTGTTAAATGCTTACCCGTTGGCTTGGCCTACGTTGGGCAGCAGGCCGACATTGAGATCCCAGGCGGGAAATGATTCCAGTATGCCGGCCAGCAGTCGCTCCGAGGAGTTGCTGGCATTGCTGCTGATGCTGCCGCTGCCGCTGCCAACGTTGGCATTGGCTCCGCCGGTGGCGGCGGCGGCGGCGGCGGCGGCGGCAGCGCTGGTCGCATTACTGCTGGACATTTGTTGCGGAACCTGATTGTTTGACAAGAGTTCCATCATAAGAAGTTGAGTATTGAGATCACGAGCGTTTCAGCGGCGTTGTAGGCGTGGCCCTTGGCAGTCAACGAGACACTCTCAAGCTGCAAATTATTTGTATACGAAGAGAGAGAGAGATCAATCAATCAAGATGAGCAAATGACGTCTCCGGAGCAGGCTGCTTATTAATAATATTCGAATTATTATTTATTATTTGGTAGCTGCGTTTGGAACGCGCCAGAGTCAATTTTAGGCTGAGACAAGGCTGACGCGAGGTTGACAGACGCCGTGCTGGCAGCTAACTAACTTATGCACACGCATCCGCCGTGCATTAAGTAGTCCAAATTGCAGTCGGGGCTAGATTCCTGTCGGCAGCTGCATTTCTTTTGAGTAGGTAGCGGAAAATGTCTCGGGGAAAACTCGTCTTTTGTTCGCTGCGCTCGCTGATCCCTTAGGAAAACGCCAGACGACCCGAATCTCTAGCCCCGGCAGATGCCGCAGCAGGTCAAATTTGTTTCAGGCAAATAACCTCAGGCACAGGCTCAGGCTCAGACTCAGACTCGGGCTCATCTTGGAATTTGGCACGCAGCATTTACGCTTTAAATTTATGACACGGATTCCCCAGAAGGATCTTCTATAAAATGGCGCAATGTCTATCGATAAAACAAGCTAACGCAGAATGCGTTCTGCAAAATATCTATTCTTTCGTATTCCAGAAAATGGAAAATGTAGCAAGTATTTCCCTTTGCCAAATAAAGGAACGATTTCTAAATTAATTTTAGGGTTTTAAAGGTAATCAAGAAATGGATTAAGCTTCCGCCAAGCGAACAAGATCTTTGAAATAACATAATTAATATATTTAAATAAAAACTAAAAGATAATATATAAAAATATAATTTAAACCAAACTTTCTTCAAGTTACACTTGAAAAAAAAACCCATTGAATGTTTTTTGAATAGATTTTATAATATATGAAAATAATATTGGTGGAAATAAAAATATAATGTATACAAAAAAATTAAGAGAAAATTTTCTTCAATTTACCCCTATTATTATTATAAAAAACCCCAAATGAATGTTTTATAAACAATTGAAAAAAAAAAATTAGTTAAATTAGATTTTTTGATGCATTTTCCATTCATTTCGGGCTGGCTGTACTTGGAAGGGTTCTGTGACCCACAAATTTGAAAAACTACGCACCAGAAAATGTCTATTTATAGGACATTCTAGATAACGCTAAACCACCCCCATGGCCCCAACCCCCACGGTCGCAGGTTCTGGCTGAATTAGTGTTACCTCGAATGCGTTTGGGCTATGCTAAAAAAAAAAAACAACAACAACAACAAACTGGTTGTTGTGCTCGTTGCCATCTTCAAGATGGAGCGACATACGCCCAAACGGCCGACCGACTTTCATCCCCTCTCACAATAACAACAACAACAGAAACAACAGAAACAACAACAAGCGCAGCGAGCGCGTCAGACACAGGCTACACTCAAAGAAAAAACCTTTTGAGAACTTGTTTATCATTTAACTTTTGTGTTCAAAGCTAATTAATTCAAATAACTGCTGCTGGCTTGGAACTTGCCACAGTGAACGCTGACTATTGTGAACTGTTTCTTTCGTTCTGAATAACATCAACTGAACGGTTCATCGAAATGAACTACTTAACTGAACGAAAGCATAAAATGAATCCGGTAAATGATTAAGTTCACAATTGACCAGAAATGAACTGCAATAACAACATTTCATTTCTCTTTATTGTGGCTTTACTGTATCTGTGAGGAGTCCAGAATAATCTAGTTTCAAAACAAAATAAGTCTTTTGGTCAGAAAAATCTATCCATCTCTACCTTGCTCTCCCTCTCCCTCTCTCTCTCTCTCTTTTCCCTTACCTATACATGTGTATGTATGTATGTATATATGTACGTGTGCAACGCCTCTGAAACGATGCACTTCCAGATTTTGGGCCGTGTAGACACTGTGCAGAAACTACCCTTGTCACCCTTGAACATTTCTATTGAAACAGTCTGTGTCTCAAAACGTTGTTGAAAAAAAAAAAAAGAAGAACACGAACCAAGAAGTTAAAGTCCTTTTGCATTTGTATACACACACACACACACAAACCGTATACATATGTATGCATGTGTGTGTGTGTGTTTGGAGTACGTGCAAGCAAAGACGCAAAAACGGCAAGGGATGAGGGTTGTATTTATACAAGTTTCTAGGTGGTATACATATATGCATGTGTGCGTGTGTGTGTGTGTGTGTATGTGTGTGTGCGCGCGCGATACATACAAACGGCATAAAAAATCTCAATATATAATTGCAAAATCTTCAACATTTTGGTCACCCAATCAATAATTGGCCGCACTTTCAGCGAATTATTGTTTAACACTGGCTAAAACCGTTCTTCACTTCTTCCCCCATTTTTGTTTTTGTTTCGTTGTTCGTTAATGAATTTTTTTTTTATTTTTTTTTTTTGCTACACACCTTTTTTAGCAGCCTCATGCAAGCCGCTCGCAACTGCACACTTTCAATGGGATGTCAAAAGTGGCGTCGCCTCGCAGAAAATATCGTTGTTGTTGTTGTTGTTGTTTTAAATATATTTAACTTAACCGTTTAGTTTGTTTTTCGTCTTTCGTATATTTGTGTGTTTTTTTGCAATGTTCTTTTTGATTATTTGGCGTATAAGTTTATTGATTTACGTTTAGAATTTATTTGATTTCAATTTTTTATCGTGCGTTTCGAAAATGCGAGATTCTTTTATAGTATGTAGTACCAGCAAAGACCAAGAGATCTCATGCGTAATACGTTTGTGGCCGTTTCGACTCCGACATTCGTGTATTCCTTTGCCCGACTAAAAGATACATTCGACTAAAAACACAACATAATAATCATGCCTCCTCGCTCATGTACATATATACGAATGTATCTGTGTAAATGTGTGTGTGTGTGTTTTTGTATGAGTGTTGCTTCTTCTGTTCTGTTGTTGTTGTTGTTGCTGTTGTTATTGCTGCGCTTGCTCATCATCTATGTAGCTAAACAAAAAATAAAATAAACCCAAATGTATCTCACAGTCAGTTTTTGATTTTGATGTTTGCGTGCGCGCGCGCTCCAATGTTGGGCTCGCTCTTTGGGATTTTGCCGTGCTGCTGGCGCTCTCTCGCACTCATTCACTCACTGAATTGCGCTCGCTCTCTCTCCCTATCGCATGGGTATACTACATATGCGTTGTATGTATTGTTCACATGCACGCGCACATTTTACAATTAAATGTGCATGGGTGTGCGCGTGAGTGTGTGCGCTTGCTTTTATCTTCTATTTATTTTCACTTATGCGGCAAAGAAATGCATTCGAAATGCTCCCTGCTCGCTATCAATAACATGCACTTTTTACATATATCTAAATTATAAACATACTTTGAAACAGTGTTGTAAGCTGTGCGTGTTTTATATATTTGACGCGCGCGTATTTGTGTGCGTGTGTGGCTATGCTTTTAACCATTCATGACTAGTGCGTTGTTTTGCTTAGTGTTTTTCGAATAATTTTGACCCACTTCTCGTGGTTTTGCTACGCTGGGGGACCAGGGCTCCTTTTTGCACTCTCCAAATATTCAACCTTCACGCACGCATTTAAACATGAAACTGGATGCACGTTCATGCGCCGACAACGCTTCTGCTGCCCCTTTGGCTTGTTATTTTTTTGTTATTGCACACTTTCTTGTGCTCGCGCATATGACGCTTGCTCGTGCGTTTTGCCAGCGACTCTGTTAACTAACAGTTTAGCATCTGTTATTCGTTTTTAGCCAAAGACACTGTTCGTTATCATGTGATGGGCTTAGCATACAAACTAACCCAATTTAATTATCTGTTAGAAACAAGGCAAATCCCTATAGCATGTACATTTATAGAGCATTCATATGTCGCCTGGCCATCTCTTTGATTGTGCTGACACACAAAGAGAGCCAATGTAAAAGAGCGTGAGAGAGCGAGCACATTAACGGCGCATGTGGCGGTGGCGCGAAAATATGGCCGGTGGTGGCGCGCATTTGTTGTCGTTGTTGTTGCGCTGCCCGCCAGCTCGATTTGTTGTTGTTGTTGTCGCCAGAAACAACACCCTTAAGGAACTTGTTTTCATCTCTTGCCTTGCACTGACAAAAATTTCGTGATCGCTGGCTTCGAAATTCAATTGAAACCATTTCGGCTGTTGGCCAGCGCATCAGCAGCATCTACGACCGGCGGGTTCATGGAATTTCAGACAGGCTCAGGTAGAGCGCAGGTGCGCAGCCCATAGTACAGGTAAACGTGCCAGGCGTCCTTTACAAAACTAATTACACTATGCGTGGTTTTTCGTGTTCAACAGCTACATACATATGTTCATACATACATACATACATATTTATATGTACAGTAAAAGCTCTATAATTTTTTTTTTTACAGCTCGAGTTGTTTTGTTATGAAGATGCTTGAAAGAGATGTCCCTATTTTACACATACATATGCATACATATGTAAATAGTGTGTACACACACACACACACATAAATTAATTTATGCTTTGATTAACAAGTGTTGAAAATGTTCGATTGTTTTAGGAATTTCGGCAGCCATTTTATTTTAAATCGAAATCCAAGGAACGGCTTCTTGACCGGTATAAGACAGTGTTGGCAAACGTGCAAAAGAGCTTCTGGCATTATCTAGAGTTAAATATTGAGATTAAAAAGCATTGCCCAGAGCAGCTGTTCATTAGTAGAGTTTTTACTGTACTGTACTGTATTTTATTTAACTGATTACATTCTATGTAATGTGTGTTTGTGTGTGATTTCAGTCGCATACTTATGTATTTTAATACTGTAAGCTAGGCTTATAATGTACTATATTTATATCGTATAACTAGGCATATATCGGTGCGGCGATCCATCAGCCAAACTCCAGTTCCTCAATCAGAACGTTTTGCAGTTTCTGGCGGACGCGCAGCTTGCGACGCTCATCCAAGCGCTGCAGGAATGGCATCAGGCTGAGCAGAAACATGCGATCCGCATCGTCCAGCGCATCGGCGCCATTTGGTTCCGTATTGGTAGACGCATCCATGCTGATGTACTTGAAGGGCAAATTGTTGGAGCCCGGCTGCGATTGTGGCTTCACATCCGCCTCGCTTTTGATGCTGCCATTGGACAGGCTTGATTTCTGTTTGGACATGGGCTGCGCCATTTCCTCATCATCGTCCAGCACTTCGATGGTAAAGACGCTGGGATCGGGTGTGCCATGTTTATGGTGCTCCTCTTCGTTCTCGGACGCGGCGTCCTCATCGAAATCATCATCGTTGAGCTCCTCATCCCGCTGGCTATGCGCATCGCCGTTGCTCAGCTCCAGCTTCACCCGCTTGCAGTCCCGGTCCTCAAAGAACGAGCTGATGTCCGAGAAACTGGGCTGATGCAGCTCCGAGTCGTAGCTATCGCTCAGCTCACAGATGGGCTCGGTGGCCACAATGGGCTCATCATATTTACTGCCATCGTCCAGTATCAGATTGTTGTTCTCCGTCCAATGTCCCGGCGGATGCTTCTTGCTGTTGCCGCGCGTGCGCGCCTGCCTCAAGATGTTCTCATGGACCGCATGCTCCATGAAGCGCATATCATTGTAGAAGCGCCACGAGGAGGGCGACTCGTTCGACAGATTGTTTCGTATGTACACCTTGCGGAAATTGTCGCGCAGGTGTCCCCACTTCACACGGCACACGTCAGCTGCGGGCAGCGAGAAGGAACAAGAGGAAGACGATCAATTGCTGTATTCGGTGCGAATGCACAGATGTCTGATCAAAATGGCATGTCGAGCTGTGCTTTGTGGCCACAAGAAAACCGCAATGCCTCGTAATGCACATACAGTGTGTACACGCTAAGCCGAACGCTTCTGAAGAACGAAATTTAGGTGCGAATTCTAATATGCAAAAGTGTTCAAGTAAGCTTCATTTTCTTAAAATGCCTATATATTTAGAAAGAAGAGTTTAAAGCTTTGCAAGTTGAGCTTTACATGATTATTTTGAGCTTTAAGCTTTACAGGTTTTTACTATACGTAGAATGTGAATAGACTTTTGCTATTCAGTTTTAAAATAGATATATATCTCGAAACTATGCACAAAAGCTAAGCAAATCGAGCTTTGTTCTTTTGGGCTGAGCTTAAAGCTTACAGATCATACGTTCTTGTAAACGGATTTCAGGCAATGAATAATAATCACAAAATAAGAAATGTGCTTTTAAGGCCCATGTTTATTTAAAAGCTCGCCGAACTAAGCTTTACATGCTAAGCGTAAGCTTTAAGCTGACTGTGTATGAGTTCGTCTTATTGAATGCGCACGGCATATGCTACATGTTCAATAACAGAAGCGTATGTTTTTGTGCTAAGCGTGAGCTTTAAGCTAACTTAGGCGTGCATGGATTCGTCTTATTGAATGCGCACTGTGCACATGCACACACACACACACACACACAAGCAAAGCTCATGCTATGTGTACACACTTGTGCATTTTACATGCATATGGCTTATACGGCTTACAATCAGACAGCTGCAGCTGCTGCTGGCACTCACCTGGCAAATTAACATCCTTCCCGACATCAAACCAAATTGGCGTAATATCGCTGCGCTTTTGGCCGCTCGCATTGTTTCGCAACCAGAGCACTGGACGACGTGAAACGGCGGCAATGAGACGCTTCACCGTCTCGATGGGCAGCTTGGCGGTGTTGGTGAAGCCAAAGGAGACGGGCGGCGAGGTAGACGCCGATGACGCATTGTAGGCCAGCTCCATGCTCATGATGATGATGATGACGATGATGACTATGATGACGGCTGAGGTTGTTGCTTGATCCGTGTAAAGGTCCGACTCGCGCAGCTCAAGCGCTACACCAAGACTAAAAGAGCGCAGCACAGAAAACAGACAACAAAAAAAAAAAAAAAAAAAAAAAAACTACGGGCACGCCACGCCGACCACGACGACGACAACGGCGTACGGGCAACAACGGCGAAGACAACGACGACGGCGACGACGACGACGCAACCAGTTTACGTGCCTTTTGGCTGCGGCGAAGGCGCAACGAAAAGCGAACAAATCAACAGAGATAGAGAGACAGACTGTGCGAGAGAGAGAGAGTGGGAGCGAGGGAGAGGGAGCCAGAGAGGGAGAGCGAGTGAGCTGGAGAGCGTAGGCAGGGCTCAGGCAGACAGGCTTTGCTCTAAACAACAAGAAGAAGAACTCACCGGCCGACGCGCTGCTGCACAAGCGACTATTATCCGGATGTTAAGCTTCCGCTGCCCGCCTGACGGGCTGTTGCGCTATGTCTCCTCTACGCTTTACGGTTGTTAACTCTGTTTCAGCTTCGGGCCGTAACGAATCGCAAATGCTCTGCCCTAGCTCGTGCGACTAACTACTTAACAAATACATACATACATACATACATATGTACATATGTGTGTATTTAATCGGCAGCTAGACTTTAGCTTTTTTTGCAGCTACATTTAGCTTGGGTCTAGCGTGTCCTAGCTGAACTGTTTGACAGACCCCAACACACCAATACACAGATATGCTGTACGCTGAGGACTGTAGCGTGCCCAGTTGTTGCGCTTTGTTTATTTTTAAACAAAACTGGATTTTTTCTTCACTACGGTCCGCTGGTTGACTGTGGAGCTCTGTGTGGCATGGAGCGAACCTAAACGTAAAATGTTCACGCTACGCCAGTGAAGCCAACGTAAAACGAACAGAGGAGCTGATACACACGTAACTGTAGCTCTCTCTGTGTGTGTGTGTGTGTGTGTGTATACAAATTGCATGTGCATGTGTATGTGGTATCGATACCAGTAGAAAATCAAGCCCCAACTGAAAACTTCGTTTTGCACGATCGTCGCTCGTCTGGGCCTGGCCCTGCTTTTTACTGCTATCTCCCATTAAGTTCTCTATGCTCGTGTGTACGTGCCGCTGCCTGTGCATATATGTGTAGTATGTGTGTGTGTGTGTGTGAGTTTGCGAAAATGCAAGCAAAGGCGAATATGAGAATTGTCTGGGGCGTTTATTTTATCTGACAAAATGGCAACAGCTCTGCGCTTGACATTTGATCCTTTTAAGCAGCTCAAGGAGTTCGACCAGCTGCAATATGCTCTACAGTTGATATAGGTATATAACTGTGAATAAACACACGTATTACGGATAAGCAAAAATCAGCTGACTTCAGTCCAAGCCAGGCGAAAGTCTCTCACGTACGCCGTATGGCTGAGCTTTTCAACACTAAAAACAAACACACACACACACACACATACGCAGTTTATATTGCTCGACTCAAACTGCTCTCTTTTTTGTTTATGAAAAACAAATATGGTTTCATTGAGCTGTTGTTGAACACTGCCAAAAATGCAGCTCTCTTTAACGATTTGGAGTATTGGACAAATTATATTGAATAATACTGAGTTTTATACGAGAGGTAGACTTCAGAAACATATACATATATTAATGAAACGATACATATTCTACACATACTGCACACTATAAACACGTACATATATATATATACATGCATGTATATTTAACACTAAGGAGGACAATTTAACTGGAACCGTCTGCGTACGCTCAAGAGAGCTTTCACTGTACACACATAATATATATATACATATGTATACATATATATATATATATATTGTAGGTATGTTTACATAATGAATGTTGATTTTGTTGAATGCCACGCCCTATTTTTTGCAGCAGCCATCGTTGAGTCGGAAGCGCCTGCGCATTTATGGCTCAAATGCTCTGCTGTTTTGCCCCCAGATTTTTGGCCAATTGGCTTTAGCTTAAGCTTTCTAATCCCTGCTCCTGCTCCATGTTGTCCTCGTCGAGGGCAAAGGAGACGCCGCGCTTGCGACTGCCAGCAGCTGTTGCTGCAGCTGCTCCATTCCCGCCGGTCATAATCGAGTAGTTTTTCGTTGTGGATTTTCTTGGGGATGCCGATGCCGACGCCGCCGCTGCCGCCGCAGCTACTGCTGCTGCTTCGAGAGCTGCATCCTTGTCCAGTGGAAGCTCCATGGCGGCATTTCCGTTGCTGTGGCCATTGCTGCTGCTGCAGCTGCTGGCTAGCGATGAGCAGCTGCCATTTCCGTTTCCATTACCATTTCCATTTCCGTTTCCATTTCCATTTCCAGCTTCGTTGATAAATACATCCATGTGATCAATTGTATCGTTTAGGGCGAAGCTCTGATCACGTCGTTCGCTCTTCTTCCACAGGTAATAGAACTGAACCAGTTCGCGCATGGTTCTAGTGCGCACCTGAAAGGACACACACATGGGATCATCATTTAAGTGTGTTTTGTGGCCTAGCACAGTGGTTCGTCTGGTGGGCAAAAATCGAAAACAAATTCTAGTTTAGATTTCGAACAAGGATCCAAAATGATCAATGAGACAGTCTCTAATTTATCGATACATTGTAATCGATATATTTGAGAATTAGGTTAGGTTTGAATAGTTAAAATCTTTTAATTTTCGGCTCTCGAGAGGCTCATGTGTGCGTTCCACTGTGCGTTGTCGCATAGTTTACCTGATTCTGTCGTATCTGATAGAAGTCCTTGCCAAACTTTTGTATGCCCTCCTCGAATTTCTGGCACTCCTCCTCCGACCAGCTGCTCATCGTGTCGCTGAGCGGCAGCACATTCATGCGCTTGCGACGCAGCGCCTCCTTGAAGTCATAGCCGCACTGGACGAGCAGATGCAGCGCCTGTTCGTTGT